GGGGGCTGGTTGCCTCTAGGGGCCTTCATCTTCCATCTTCACAGCTGGGTTCCCCCCCCCCACACACACACCTCTTGGAACACCTTTGGATGAAGGAGACCAGGGCAGAGTCAGTCAGCATCAGGCACCGCTCGCCCAAGATGGGACCCTGCCATGCTGATCCAGGCGTGGGTGACCCAAGGCCAGTGCCTTCAAACAGGCGTGCCTAAGCGTTAATGCCAAAACAAGGGGCTGTAGACTCTTCTCTTTTTCCCCCTCCCGCTCCAAGATGCTGAGCAGATGCCTCTTGGTCTCACCGGTTGTTGCAAATGCCTGGCTCCCCTGGAAACCAGTCCCTGGCGATTACACACTGGGTGCCAATGCCTCTCTATGAAAACGGCCCCAGATGTTTGCCTGCCTGCACCAAGACCGTTTACGTGCAGTTGTGACTTCACGGGCTGCTCGCAGCCTCAGCCAGGTGTGAGACGGGGCCCGAGTTCTGCTGGAGGAGGTTCCCTTCCTCGCGTTTCAGCCGGGCTTTGCAATCAGACGGGGGCCCAACCAACTCCTGCTGCTTCAGGGCAAAGCAGCCGCTGAACTGGCTTTCCGCGCAGCCTGCTTTTAACGTGGGCCACCCGCCAGCCCCTGGCCCGAGTTACACTTTAACCCCCTGTGGCATTTGAAACTTCCCCAGCCACTGGGCTGACAGGTGGCTGCTGGTCAGGGAAGTTCATTCCCAGGCAGCGGCAATGCAGGGGCCTGTTGAGCAAAAGGCTTGTTGCTGGCAGACCGGTCAGTTTCAGCGGGGATATTTTAATCCATTTCCTTAGGATCCTGGTTTTCCTTCAGCGCCGCTTGAGCTCTTTGCACAGGTGGGATGAGGCTTTTGGATGGGGGGTGCGCTCGGTGAATGTTGAAGATGGTTTGTTTTGACTTGGTCACACTTTAAAATTCAGCTGGGGGGGCCCCGCCGGCAGCACTGAAGAACGTAGCCTGAGCCGCTGTCGAGCGGTAGGCCCCGTTTCTAGCAGTATCAGTTTCCTTAGTTGCTCTGAGCTGGCGCGTAGAGCCAAGCCCGGTGGCCGCTGGGGATTCCTGTCTCTAAACTGGATTGGAAGGTGACTTCTGGGCCCGAAGGCGCCAGCTGGCTTGGGCTCTCCTGGGCCCGAGGAGCATTATGGCAGAGCCTCTCCCCTCGGGGTTGGGAAGGAGGAAGCTGAACGGATCAAGCCTGGCCCGGCTTCCACAGCGATCTCTGCCATCCCTCTGCTTTGAGCTCTCCATTCTTGCCTGATCAGCGCTGGGGCTGGGAAACGGCCCCGCTCCGCTCTGTTCTTCCCACGGGGAGGGGGGGAATCTCGCAGCCAGGTCAGCTCTTGTTCCTTCATCCCAAGCTTTAGCCCCCGCGGTGTTCTCCCTCATCTCCGGGAGGCCCCTTCACAGGGTGCCCACCCGCTCCCAGTGCTGCCGGGCAGGCAGTGTTTTTCCCCCCGTTGCAAGGGCTGGGGGCCTGGAGCTGGAGGGCAGGCCTGGGCTCGAGTGAACGCCGTACCCCCTCAGTGCCTGATCCAGGCTGCTTTCCTCTTGCCAAAGTGCCAAAGGGCATGCTGGGCCCTGAAAGCCCCAGTACCTGAGCTGTTGTAGGAGTTACAAGGGCTGGAATGGGGGCATTTGCCTGCAGCCCCCTCACCATGCCTTTATGGGGCATCAGTCCCACCTCTTACTAGCACAAGCAAACGCCCATCTCCCCTCGGCCGGCCTGGACATGGCCCCTGGCTGCCTTGTCACATGGCCCCTTGTGCCAAACCAGCTGTGGGCCGACCCCGGTTCTCTCTGCGGCTCTTTGATCGGGAGGTGCATGGCAGAGCATGTCCCCGAATCTGAGCCTGGTACCGGAGATCGGAAGCGTGTCGGGGGTGGGGTGGGGGGCTCGGTTAGTCAGTGGCCGATACTTTTGAGTCTTTGAAGGAACTGACTGAGCCGGGGCTGGGGCAGAGGAGGAATTTGAACTGCACAAACTCTCTGGACCCCTCCCGGTTCTGTTTGCTGATAGTATTTTTCTACACCCGACCTTTGCCGCCGGAACCAACACTGTGTGTGGCTATTTTGGTACTAGATCTGTGGGGGGAGGGGAGAAATGTAGTTGCCATGGGGTCCCCTGCAGTCTAACCCAGCCCTGTGGGGTTCTAGTGGCCCCGGTAGAATGGTCCCGTCCCCCCCCGTGTCTTTTTGGTAAGATGAATTTAGCATTGTCTAGTTATGAAATACTGGTTTTTAATATTGAAAATAAAGCATTTAATATCTTAGCTGTGGCAGTGCCTGTCCCTGCTCCCACCCATCGGAGCATTTCTCTCCCGCTGCAAGTGGGGGCTGGCGGTGGGGGGGGTTGGGCATCAGAAGCCCTGTGTTCGAGGGTGGCCGCACTCCGGCCAGGTGGCTGGGATCCGCCCAGGGAGCAGGGCGCCAGCAGCAGCCGTGCCTGGGAGCACAAGGTACCCACTGCTGGAGTGAGGGGAGCAGAGAGTTAAACTGTGCCTGGTCTCTGAGGCAAAATTCACGCGGGTAGGAGGGAGCTGGCACTGTCTTGCACAGAGCACAGCCTGTGCCATGCAGTGTCTGAGCCACTGGGGCAGGGAGCTGCTTCCTCCCCTTCCCCTCTGTCCCTACCAGCCCTAGCACCTGGGTGTTGGTCCCTGCTCACACCAGCCTGGTCCTGGCTGTGCACCGGGCTCCACCTTCCTGCTCTGAACAGTCCCTAACCTGTGTGCCAGAGGCCTGGCCATTGTGGCAGCCCTGGGGCGAAGTTAATACACCGCCCCCTCCGTGCTGGGCGGCGTGGGGGCTAGTGGGGAAACCAGCTGCTTT